TTTCACTACTACATAACAGAGGGCGATAAATTTAAAAGAAAACAGTTTTCTACAAACGAAATTTAAAAGAATTTTATGCAGTGTTGCCATTGTGTAATTTATATTGTAATATTTCCTGATAAAGCCTAGCTTCAAATTTGTTACATCATTTAAACATATTAAAATAAATTAGAGCTCTTTTTTGAAACGTTTAAGTATTTAACTCGCCATGTTAGTTGGAGTTAAATCATACGAGCTGAATTAAAATCACTTCCTGACGTTTGATTCTAACTGAATCCTGAATTTTGATCGTAATTCGGCGACAATATAATAAGTATTGTTCTACTATTATGACACCACTTCCTGACGTTCGATTGTGTTCATACCGTATGATCGGGAAAAAACGGCGATAGCGATGGCTATGAAATGAAAATCGCTGTCATTTTATGTGTAAATTTATATGGGAAATGTCATCGATCGTCTTTTCCCAGCCAACTGGACGCCGTTTTTTTCGGTATCGCACGGTATTTGATATATACTTGCGTATTTTTCATGACATTGCAATATTATGGTACCATGAAGCATATCAAGTGATACCGTAATATAGTACATATATTACGATACATGGCGTTCGATTGGGCTTAAACTTGGTATATTACGTATCTTCAGTGACATTGTAATATTATGGTACCATGAAGCATATCAAGAGGTACCATAATAGTACATAGAGGTACCATATACGATAGAGGTACCATATACGATACCATTTCCTGGCGTGCGATTGGACTTATACTTGGTATAGTAAGTATCTTCGGTGACATTGTAATATGATGGTACTATGATGCATATAAAGTGGTACCTTAACATAGTACCATATTACGATACCACTTCCTGACGTTCGATTGGGCTCATATTTGATTATACTTGCGTATTTTTGATGACATTGCAATATTATGGTACCATGAAGCATATCAAGGGGTACCATAATGTAGTACCATATTACGATACCATTTCCTGGCGTTCGATTGAGCCCAACTTTGATATACTTGTGTTTCTTTATAAAGATTTGTTTAATTAATAATTTTAATTTATTTTAATAATTTTAACTTATTTTATGAATTTTAATCTATTGTACGATGTCGTGACAGCAACTTTTATGCCGAACTAATATATTATTAATTGTACCTGTGTCACTTTTTAAAATCTACCTAGGTCTATATAAATAACGTGGCAAACAGAAAAAAATTGTTATTATAGTATTTTTTAGTCAATTAACATTTTTTGTACTGCATTTTGATAAATCATTTCCATTATTATTAAACGTATATTTCATTACTAACGTTTCAGCATTAATAAATATCACTATCAATCGCCCTGTATATTATTAATTTTAAAGGTAGTTAAAGTTATTTTCTTAGTTAACATAATAAAGTGGTGTATATTAAAAATGTATTTTGAGAGCATATGTTTTCTAATAACATACTTAAAATTAAAACTATTTTAAAAGCCAAACGAATAATTAATATAAGTGTATCTGACAAGAAACGAAGAATAGAAAGGAATTATTATACACCAGAAAAAGAATGGGAGGCCAATTAAAATCTGTTTGAATCTGGCAACTGTGCATTTTAAGCCGAGCTTCAAGGCCGTCGACGTGCCGTCGATCTACGTCGATCCAAAACCGAAAGTTGAAAATTTCCAATTATATTCTGATTATGATATTGTCGCGCCATCTAGTATTTTATTTGTGCAATTTTAGCTCTTTCATTTCGAGTATTTTTCTGTTGCGTAGCTAGATATTCTGTGCTTAAACTGTTAATAAAGTATTTAAGCCAGTAATTATTAAAGAAAATTTTAAAATAATGATAATTGACGAACAGCGTTAAAATTTATTTCCCTTCTAGATAAGTATAATAATATCTAAGAAAATTGCTTTACAATAATTATTATGTATATTATACAATTGAAAGTGCTATTGTTTCTGAAAATAAAGTCATCTAATTTTGCTTATGATTTATTAAAATATATACACGATATACACGAACGGATCAAATAAATTAAAGTTCTGTTTATTTTAAGAATTTCATTGAAATTATCTTTTCCATTAGCTCTCGCAAAACTACACTTATTTTTAACAACTTAACTTCTTTTCCCCCTCAAACCTCCGCTTATTAAACGTACTGTATACTTTTACTGTCCTAATTAATAAGTACTTAAAATGAAGACAAAAAAAGACATAATTAAAAGAAGTCCCTAATGAATCGGATGGTAATATAAAAGGGTTTCTTTTTTGTTTTCGGAGAGAATATTAAAAAAGTTTTTTTTTGGTTGGGATTTATTTTCTGTTAGGTATATTTTTCGTCGGTTACTTTCGAGTAAATATCTAATTTTTAACATTTTCTTTCTATAATATCAAAAAATACACAGAATATAGCAAACTGATATGTATTTTAAAGATCTTCCTGTATCAGATATACTGCTATTTTGCAACCTATTATGCTTAAATAGTGTTTAAAAGTTATCTACTGTTTTTTTTCTACCTCTACAGGGTCCGGCAATAATACGTCGGGCATCTGTAGCTACTAAAATAAAAAACTTGTAAATTCTGTTTAAGTGTAAACCGAAAGCACAGTTTAAAGAATATAAATATATCAGTTGACCCACTCTTCGCCCGTATCAAAATTCCTCCCGCCTCTCCCCGCCTGTCTTGTAGACTTGGGTCAGTCTACATCCATTGCTCGACGTATACACAGCTTTCCAAGTTTATTTTAGTTTTGCTTTTGGTCCGACGCATAGGGTGAACCAAAAATAGTGTTTTAGTTGTTTTGTTCGAATTGTGAATAAAATGTCTACTAGAAATATTTGTGCAGTGGATGGTTGTGAAAGTAGAATGACAGACAATATATCGTTCTTTAGGTTCCCAAAAGATGAAGGAAGATATGTGTTTATATAGTATAGGATATTAAGTATATAATAATTAAATTATTAGACATATTAAGTATATTATAATAAAATTATGGAAACCTAACTATAAATAAATTGTTATAAAAATATACATATAAATTAAGAAAATATTTTACTCGAAATATGCACAAAATATTTACTTTTAACAATTAGTATATTATTTTAGTAGATATTTTAGAGTAGTAGTAGATACTTTACTATTATGTTTTGGATTTGGCAGTATTTACCGGTTTGCAAAGTGCATATTAAATTATTTTTTAAGATATTTGCATTTTTTAAATAGCATGTTTTACTGTTTAGATGCCCCCACTTTTTGGTACTTTCATTATTTTTCCCGTGTACTTTTCAATTAGTAGTAAATACTGTAATAAATTATATTTGCATATTTCTTAAGTTATAGCATGTTTTGCTTTTTAGCTGTTTGCATTTAACTTGAATTGTCTACATTTTTATCAAAAGGTAATAAAAAGTACTTGAATACAACTTGTCTTGCCATTGTCAATTTTTTTTCAGTTTTTACTAAATTTTATCGAACAGTAAAATTTATTACACAATTAACTACTAACAGTCATAATTACTGTTCATGATAATCATAAAATTTAGAAAAAAATCCAAAAAAATTGACAATGGCGACACAAGTTTTATGCAAAGGTACTTTTATTACTTTACAATAAAATTTGGGCTTTCCGGGTAGGTAATTAAAGTAAAATGCAAACACCAATAAAGCAAAACATGCTATAATTTAAGAAATATGCCAAATTATTATTATATATATATATATTTAAAAAAATTAACTTATTATATTTATTTAGTATACATTTTTCATATATGGGGTTTCCATAATAATTATTAATAATAATTACCCTATTGACAATTCCATATTCCATAGAATTAGGCTAGAATAATATATCTAATATTTTAATATTAATGTATTCACCATAACATGTATAAGTAGAGTCTGTTAAGGAAAATAACTTGTAGGTGTGGAGCCTGGAAAAGTGCCTTAGGATTTATAGGATCCCACAGATATGATGTTAATCAATAAAACTAGTACTGCATTTTTATTTTTCTACTTGCTATATTAAAATTCCTTAGTATTTTTAATTGGTCCCTCGTATACGGCCAGCGTTGTGACTGATAAAATAGCAGTTCCGCAGCACCCGGTAAACGTACAAATTTTTTGTCACCTCGAAGGATCACGGGCCGCCTTTGAAGTCAAAATAACAATAGAATTCCTTAGAGCGGACCAACTGATATGTATTCTTTAAACTGTGCCGAAAGTATGTACTAGGACGTATTTCATGAAAATATTTTAGCTTCTATAGGGTGGCTAAAAAAGTGTGAGTGGATCAGGATGATTTTTTTAAATGGAACTCCCTGTATATTATTACATTTTAGGCTTCATTTTAGATCACTTTGCATAATCCTAAGATATGAGTAAATATATTTCGATAGTTTCAGAGATATTAATAAATAAATAACAAATATATTTATTCAGCCTTTCTTAAAAAATTTATTAAAAATACAAGAACCTGTCCTGAAATCAAAACTATATTAGGTATTTAGTTTAGATGGTTTGTACTTACTTCGCTATAAATATGGTAATCGTGAATCACAGAGGTTGTTCAAAATTCTACGCCAAACTTTCTAAAGTATGAAATAATTTTTCTTCGTTTTTTTTTTAAATAGAACACCCTGTTTAATATTTTTTCAATAGATGGAGAATGAAAAAATTTACATTTTTTGAGTTTAAAGTATTTCAGAATTGTTAACGGTTTTGTAGATATTCGTGATTTTATATTTCATATGGTATTTTCAAGAGTAAATTTTTATCAAAGCCACCCAATGATTTTTTTCTCGTATTTTACCATATAAAACCATAACAACCATATGAAATAATACTGCGTGATCTGCGAAACCATTAAAAATTTTGAAATACTCTTGATCATTCGGCTTTTTTAACTTAAAATTTTTCTGTATGTCTTAAAGTTTTCGGGTGCTCAAGGGTCACCCACGCATTTTCGATACTCCATATGGATGATGCTAATTGAAAAGGAACCAAGCGCCAAATTGCAAAAATCAGGTTTTAGGTTCCATACGACACTTTACCATGTATTTATAATGTGTAAAAAGTATCAAGCACCCATTGCGATCCTAGAGACATCTATTAACTAAAAATCCAAGCGACATCGATCGAATACGCAGTTTTCTATAATAGAAAGAGATCCAAAGCTCAATACTATTTATAGAAAATGACAAGTGTCACTTGGTTCCTTTTACATTTTGTTTGTGAGAGTGGCGAGTGCTGGTTTTCATATTTTTTTTATATAAATTTTAATTAAAAATGAGTAAAAGATCTAAACTAATTCTTAGAAATGCTTTACGATTAAACGAAGGTGAGCAGCCGTGCCAAATAGAGCCGAAAAAGCCGAAACTTAATGATTATAATGTGGTAAGTCAATTTACAGGAGTTAGGTTTTTCAAGTCTATTATAGTTTTTAGTTTTTTGTTAATAAATTTAAATATTACCATTGTTTAAATATTTTTTCAACATCCAGCAATGTTGAAATTCTTTTTTTTTCTTATATTCCTGTCTAAATCATTAACATTACTATTAAAAAATTGAGCAAAGGGAGCCAAACGCCCAGGGTGGCGGTTGGTTCCTTTTACATAATACCTTTTATTGTGATAAAAATATTACATTTTGTGGTAATTTTATGTTTTAAGGAACAGCGTGGGGCTAAGACACAACCATATAGTACCTCAATAAGTTGTCATGCTTTTAAAGACATAAGTTTACCAGGTAATCATATGATGAACGCTTAATATTTCATTAGAATGTAGGTAGGTAGCCAACATATATAACTTGCTATTTAGTGAAGAAGAAATTGAGAGAAAGCAAAAATTAAAGCAAGAAAAGGAAGATTGGAAAGGGCGTTCTAAGAAAGGACGACATAACAAATATCCGGGACAAACTTTCTTAACAAGAAAAAAACTAAAAGATGCCAATAAGACGCACTATACTGTGAAAGGAAAGTTAAAAGAAGCTAAGGAATTTTCAAACTATCAATGCGGATGTCCAAAGAAATGTGGCGAAAAGTTAACAGCGGATGATAAACAAAAACTATTTGAAAAATTCTATGATTTAGCATCATATAATTTGCAAATTAGTTACATTGCAGCGACGGTTAAATAAATGCCTATTAAAAGAAAGCGAGCTAAAGATGGTCCAGGTAAATCATACACTGGGGTGTATATGCTTGGAGAAGTCGAAGTATGCCGTGATACTTATATAAATACCTATCAAATATCGACAAAGCGAGTTAACACTGCGTTGGAAAAAAACGTAACACCCGAATAAAAGATGAACGAGGAAAATCCGGAGGTAAAAAAAAAGTCGATGAAGAATTTATAAAAAAAATTATCAATCATATAGGAAACTTTCCTACTTCTGTTTCGCACTATTCCCGCTCTGAAACTGAAGCCAAATTTCTACCGTATGACCTTACAGAGAGGAAAATGTACGAACTCTACATAGAAGACAAAAATCCGAAAGTTAGCTTTCAGTTTTTTAAAAATGTATTTTACAAGCATTTTAACTTGAGGCGGAAGCCTCCTATAAAAGATACTTGTAACAAGTGTGACATGTATTCTGCACAGTTAAATAATTCTCAAGATGAAAACCAACAACTAGTTTTAAAAGAACAACATGACACACATTTTGAAAATGCAAAGCTTGCCCGAGATCAGCTAAATAAAGATTTTAAGGAAGCAAAGAAAAACCCACTAATCGAAACTCTTTGTTATGATATGCAAAAGGTCCTAGGATTACCAAAATTACCAACAAATATTGTGTATTATAAAAGGCAATTAAGTATTTTTAACGAAGGGGTACATTCTGGCTCCACAAATACTCCATATTGTTTTTTGTGGAAAGAAGGGATGGCCGGTCGAGGAGCACAAGAAGTGGGCTCATGCGTAAAGAAATTTATTGACGTGCACCTTAATAAAGGAGTGAATGAATTAATATTGTGGTCAGACAGCTGTGGCGGACGAAACAGCAATATAAAAATTGTGCTTATGTTAAAAGCGGTTTTAATGCAACATCCCACATTAAACAAAATTTATTTTAAATATCTTGAATCTGGGCACAGTTTTCTGCCAAATGACACTGATTTTGGACAAATAGAAAGAGCACTTAAAAATCAAGTTCGCATATACACTTTACACGACTTTAGGTCAGTTATTGGAAATTGTAAAAAACATAATAAATTTATAATAAACCTTATGGAACCCGATGACTTCTACTCAACTGAAAATCTTGAAAATCAAATTTTAAATAGGAAAATGACCATCAATAAAGAGAAAGTTAATTGGTTAAAAACCAAGATAATAAAACTTGAAAAGTCAAAACCAGATTCAATATTTTTTTGTGAGTCACATTCCTCAGAAGACAATAACTTTAAAGAATTAAACATCGCAAAATCAGTGCGAAGCAAAAAAAATTCTTTGAATCCGCAAAAACTAAAAGTGCTTTACCCCAGAGGTAAACCTATTTCAAAGAAAAAATGGGATGATATTAAGACTTTATTAAAATTTCTTCCAAAGGATACAATTGAATTTTAGCAAATGAGAAATATTGAGGATTTCGAAGACGATGTGGAAGGTTTCGGCCCCAACATAGACTTTGATTTTGAAGATTAGTTATAAAATGTTTGATTTTGTTGTTCCTAAATGAGTTCCTCTGTTATATAATAATTATTATTCCCTATTAAAATAAATTTGTTATTTTTAAAATGATCCATGTATTCCTTCCTTTTTCTTTAAACAGAACCAGGGCGCTTGGATCTCTATCAAATAATAATTAAAAATTATCTGATAATTGAAAAGGATCCATCAACCAAAAAAATCTTAAAATTATATTTTTGCATGTAGGAAATATACAATTCAATAACGTCCATCATTAGGTTCTAAACCAACAACATTTTATTGTGAGAAAATGTACTAAAAACATAACAAACTTAAAAAAAACATGATACACATATAACCCCTGATTATGCAAATTGACAATTTGGCGCTTGGTTCCTTTTCAATTAGCATCATCCATATGTGTAATTAATTCTTTGTGTGAGAAAACATATCGCAGACGCCAAATATAGCGATTTAGAAAGTAATTAACCGGTGGGCCTAACATAAATTTCGCAAATTAAAGTGGAAAATTAACGTCGGCGTTATAGAGCAAAAACGGCCGAACAGAGCCTACATTGTGACAATTTTATTAGAAAACAACTTTATAAAGGTCCGGCGCTTTAAATTGGACGCTAAAACGTACCAACACAAAGCGGAGAGTTTTATATAATTGAATAAATAATACAGCGTGAAGCTTTCCATAACGGTAAACGGCGGCAGGGCTGAATTTTTGTTTGCCGTTGTTTAGATCCCGATGGAAAATTTCATATCGCATTTGGGCCGGCTCGCTGCTAAATGAAAAACGGTCGCTTTGTCCCTCTGTTCGTGGCGCTGCTGTCAAAACGCTCGAAAAAACGACCCGAATGTAATTAAAAAAAATCTTAACGCGTTATTATCGTTCGGCAAACACAAAAGAGGAAAACTTTAAACGTCTTTGTGGTCCTTAATTAGCACGAATTAAAGTTAAGTGAAGTTAATTATTTATGAATGACAGAATTAAAAATTCGTAGAAGTATGTAGTATAGTAGGTACACAAATATTTTATTTTTTATAAAATTATTCCTTTCCAGATTTAAATTACTGATGAAATGGCGTTCGCAGGTTTAGAACCAGGAAATAAACAACCTTTTTTTAAATTGCCGACGCACAGTGCTTCGTCCCATGGACAAAAATCGAAAAAAAGTTAAAATTTACTAATATCTGAATATGTAATTTTATACTTATAGCAATGTTCAATTATCCTGTATATTATTTTTCATAATCAGTGTTTTTTGTTTTGCGATCATATATCAGTGAAATTATCTTATATCAGTGAAAAGAATAACATTCATAGTAGTTCTGTATATGGAGTTAAACGGTACGTACTTAATTGAAAGCCACTATGGATATTGTTAAACAAGGTATGTACTTTAAATTTATTTCTAAAGAAGTTCGTGATTGTTTAGTTTTTATTTATTTTTTCAGATGAATCTTAAATGTATATAAAAATTTTACGTTTTCAAACTTCAAAAAGGCATTTAAAAAAAAAACATATCAAAACATATCGTAATTATTGAATATATTTGTTATCATATTCATACACTTTTAATTTTTGTATAGTTCACCTGCGTCTGCTTGCGACGAACTTTATTTTATAATACTTTTCAAATGGAGTAAAATTGATAAGCAATGCCGATCTGGTTAATACTTAGCTTGATCATAAGGACAAGAACTCAAAATTATTTGTATTTCAAAAAATGTGTTCTTTATTAGATATTGATGAACCTTCCAGTCAAATAAGACACCACTTGCGCCTGAAATAGCCCACTATGTTGGAGCGAAACGTCGCATAAAAAAAGTTTCCATCTTTCAATTTATTATAAAAACTCATACCCAAGAAAATGAAAAAATAATATATGGATATGGTCTCTTAAAGAGGTAACTATTAACATCCGAACCCCTCATACCAACAATGGGAACACGCGAAACAACGCGAAAAAGTAACATATTAGAAAATGATGTACAGAAACATCTTATAATATGTGAGGATATTTCATCTACCTGTGATTTGGATACTATAAATTTGGAAGATTCTGTCAGCAGTGATTCTTCTGAATCAGAGTAGTTACGATCTATGCATTTTGTTGCCCTAAAGTAAATTTATAGTATCTTAATTTTTTTTTTTTAATTAAATATAGCATTAATGTTTCTTTTTCATTAAAGAAAAACATTTTTATCTTATATTAGGCTTATATTGTAGGAATCATGTTCTAATGTTATTTCAATTCTTTTTTATCACAGGGATTTTTTTAATACATACACCGTTTTCATACTATAAATTATTATTTCCTTTGATGGAACACAGCTCCAACATTTTTATTATTTATAAGATTTTTTTTTCATAAACGTGGGACTAAGAACATCACCTTTTAGTACAATGAGAGTACTCATTATATGTGTCAAATAAACCTAGTTTGAATAAATTGCCTACAATAAAAGAGAAGTTTTGCATCTTTGTCCTTTAGAGCCATATGATCGAAGCACTGTGCGACGTTTCGACGTGTATTTTCGTGTTTACCAAAGCTATATTCCTTGTCAGGATAAGGTTCTTTTGTCATCCATAATTAAATAGCATATCCCTTTAATTACTACTGACAAAAGAACCTTTTAACTGAAAACAGCCTTGATAAAGACGAAAACACACGTCGAAATGTCAACAATTTTTTAAATAAAAAGTTGTTTATTTCCTGGTTCTAAACTGCGAACGTCATTTCATCTATAAGGACACAAATCTCGCACATTATTTAAATTATTCCTAAGAAAATAATTTAAATTTGATTGACTCATTGGTGCGTGAGCCTGAGGAGGATGCTATCTTTATCTTGACGATTCCATATATGAAAGGAACAGCAGAGAAGATCTCAGGCGAATATCCAAACAGTATAAAATTAAAACTGTTTTTAAGTCTAATTGACTTCCAAGTGAATTTACACTAAAAAGTGTCCTAACAAAAACAAAACCGGAATCATCAAAACAAGAGAAAGAGTAAATCTACCAGGTACCTTGCGAGTGCGGAGGTACAAGAGGTGAAACAATGAAGTTGGGCATTGTAGATCATGTGTGGTCAAAGAACCACAACATAAAATGGTCGGAAGCTCGAATTGTCCACAAAGAACTCCACTGGAAAAAGTGCAAATTTAACGAGGCCGTTTTTATATTTAGCAATAATAAAATCTTTAGAAATCCAAGTATGGAAATTTCAACAATATGCCAACAACTAAGAGAGAGAGAGAGAGAGAGAGAGAGAGAGATGTGTTAAAGACGCATCGACTGTAGAGTCTTTTAGCGTCACTTTATCCCATTATTTATATATTTATGTCTAAACTAAACGTTCTCCGTAAATATTTATATATGTTTATATACATATGTCGATGTCCTTTATATGATCCAACATAGCCTTGTTATTTTGGAAGAAAAGGGCTACCTCTGGGTTATCCACGATACCGTGTTGTATTCGTTTTAACGCGTACTTTGGGCAAAGATAATGTGTTTGACGGATATTGGAAGATTACATGTTTCACACAAATGGGCTGGTTCTGTCCTTTAAGGAGGTATTCATGGGTAAGTTTCATGTGTCCTAAACGAATTCTAGTGAGCACAACGAAATCTCTTCTAGGTAAGTTAACTACATTATTTTCAAAATAGTCCCTTTTGATCTCATGAAGCTTATTATCATTCATGTCTAAGTCCCATTCTAGTTGGATTATATTATCGATCATACGTTTGCCATAATTCTTTAGATCTTGCACCGAGAAATCGAGGTTGGTTTTATGAGGGTTGGGAGTTTTTGCAGCCAAGTAATCAGTTCTGTCATTGCCAGGAATTCCTATGTGGCTCGGAAGCCAAAGGAAAGTGACGCTGTAGTGGTTGATATTGGCCTTCTGTAGAAGCATTTTGATTGCCATAATTAGTGGATGGTTGGAGTAGAAAGAGGAGATACTTGAAATGGAACTCAATAAATCGGTAGCCACGACCCATCTCTTATAGCTGGAGGTTATAGCTGGCCATATGTTGAATGGCCTTAAATATTGCAAAAAGCTCTGCTGAGAATATTCCCGTTATGGGACTTAGTGAGAAACACATTTCTTTATCAAACGTATGAAAAGCCGCTCCAGTGTGCCTATCAGTTTTCGAACCATCGGTGTAAACCAGTCGATGACTCTTGTACTTCGAGTTGATAAGATCTTTGAATTGTGCTCTTATAGTGAGATGTGAGCATTCCTTTTTGTTGTGGAGTTTGAGTGATAGGTCAAGCGAGAGTGGGTGCAGACTTCATGGTGGAAACATACGGGAGAATGGCGCAATATTGAAAGGAGGAGGCAAATCGATTGACAGTCTTTCCTTTATATCTACATAACGGTGGTGTGATGCTGATTGATACTCTTTGTATCTATGTTTGATTTGGTGGTAAATAATTTTGAAGAATTTTTTGTGATTAGGGTGTTCCGGATTAACATGTAGACCAAACGCATACGCTAATAGGTGTCGTTCTCTAATATAATTTAGTGTGTGTTGTTCTGATTCACACATTAAGCTTGGTATGGGACTCGAGTGAAAAGCGCCCAGTGATTTCCTGATTCCCATGTTATGTGCCGCGTTCAGCTTATTTAAATAAGACCGTGGTGCAGGCGCATATGGCATATGGGTCCTGCGAGATGGCCTTCACTAATAAAACGCACCAATGAAGGCATTCTTCAAGTGGACAACCTCATGGTTGACTACCCAACTTCTTCGCGGGTGATTGCTCGGCTCAGAGTTTTAGGATTTAAAGTGGTACTTGATAACGGTCAATGATACTTCTGACCGAAACGTTGTGTTATTTTACTTACACAACAAAATAAAGACAATAGAAGTCAGAAATTCATTTAGTGTCAACTTTTTAGCTAGTAAAATAAAATGCTCAAAAATGGAAACTAATTATGTATTGAATAATCTATACCAAAAATTATAGAACTAGACTTTCTGGTTACTTTAAAATAAAGAGAGAAAATATAATAGAAGATATTACATAATGCTCCACGTCCGATAAGTAAATATATTTTTAGTAAAATAATGAAAATGAATAAAAATGTGTTTTTTTTTAATTGGATTAAGATCAATATATAGCATTCCTTGTACTCAATGTCCTAAAAGCTATGTTGGGCAGACCGGTAGATATTTAAAACAAAGATTAAAAGAACATAAAAATGACCAAAAAAACTTTATTTTGAAATCTAATCCTACCGCATTAGTAGAACACAAATTAGAGACAGGCCATAACTTCGATTTTGACAATACCACTATTTTACAAACACAATCTAATTATAAGAAAAGATTATTTGCAGAGATGATAGAAATCCAAAAAAACAAAAATTGCTTTAATAA